GGGGTGTCGCCCGGGCGACGACTCTACGATTGGCAACAGGGTCGAGAGGCGGGACGAGCCCCCTGCCGTCGCTCGGGTAACGGTTCTGGGGCCGAGGGCGGGGCGAAAAGGTGGGCGTGGCCTTCACGCCCGGAGAGCGACGTGTGGTTGGCGGCGGGGGCGGAGCCCGCAGGGAAAGGGGGCGTGGCATTCAAGAAGCGCAAGTCCTTAGCAGCGACTCCCTGGGAACCGTTTGCCTAGCAACGGAGAGACCCTCAAGAGAAGGCCCTGTTCCTAACCTGGCCTTGCCATGACGTCACAGATGACCCCAGATGAGCCAAAAGTCTCCACAGACTCTCAACATACATCCCCTCCCACTGATGTCTTAATGTCCGCCAAACTGGCCACAGCATCTCCAGCCATTCTTTGCCACTGCTGCTGATCCCCCAAATCTTGATGAGCCCCACGTCTCCAGAAAACATCAAGGACTTCGTCGGACCCACTATTGATTAATGCTAGCCCTTAAACATCTCCGCATTTCCCACCAACCTCCAATATATGTCCCCATGACTTCACTATCTTCAACGATCTCGCTTGGTCCTCCAACACCCCTGATTCCAAAATTTCATTAGTCCTCGCAACAGCCCTGTAACCCAAAATCTCCTCCCGATCCCAGCAGTCCCCACAGATAGCCAGTGGCCCTGACTTCTGCCGAAGCCACTCTGCCGCCATCACGGATCTTCCCAGACTCACTCACTCAGTAGCTTCCCAGATTTCTCCCTGGAATGTCCCGGAGGCATCTCACACTCGACAAGTCCTGTAATGAACTTGACATCTTACTCTAAATTCTACCCCTCTTTTGTGTCCCATTCTTAGGGCGAGCACTGCTAACTCCAACCAGTAACTCAGACTACAGACCTGATTTGTACCATTTTCTTTCACCCCCTGCTTTCTGTTCCCAAGTCTTGTATTCTGTCACCTGAAGTCCTCTTTTCCAGCCCCTTCCCCTGTATAACCACGGGCCAAACTCTTTCTCACCTGCTTGCTCGCTGCCCACCCCCCCATCAGCCTTGTCTCTGCCATCCCAGACCCCTATCTCACCCCACCAGCCACCCTCCACTTGGCATCTAGAGAGGTCTTTCTAAAGCACGAATGCGATCAGGCCCTCCCCTTCTCGAAGCCCATCTATGGCTCCCTGGTGCTCTCGGGGCAAAGTTAAGCCTTGAGTGATCTGTTTCCACCAAGCCCTGTTTCCAACCTCATCTCTCACCATTAACTCCTCACACCTTGCCCCCAAAAATGAGATTTGAGAAAGCACCCCTGCACATCGCATTCTCTCTTGCCCTGGGGTCCTTTGCACATGCCGTTCCCTCTGCTTGGAATGCCCTTCCCCACTCTGTTCTGGACCCTTTAAGCGTCAGCTCACGGACTCTGTCAGTTCTCTCGGCTCCCTTATCTGTATTGTCATGGCCTGGGAAGGCGTCTGTCTCTGCTGTAGACTGTGAGCCCTGGGGAAGCAGAGCTGGAGCTGCTCGGTCACTTCTGTGTCAGCTCAGGGCTAGGCTGACAGAAGGCACTTCAATAGTTGTTTGATGGCCAGATGAATGAATAAATGAAACAGATAGGAGAGACGATGCTGGGTCATGTCTGCATTCCCAGCAGAGCCCGAGAGCCCTGACTTGGAGCCCACGTCAACAGACTGGAGAGCAAATGAATGAGTGACTGGGCCGAAATGCCACAGGGACATTTATTTAGAGCAGCTGCCTTCCTTTTCTACCCCTGCCCTCCAGGGACAGAAAGCAAACCAACAGTGAAAAACAACCCATAACTCACTATGTACAAGGGACAACTTGCTATCTACCTGCTTGGGGAAGGGGCTACCGGGCCTCAGTCATCCAGGTCCTCGTCCTCATCTTCCTCCTCATCCTCCTCCTCCTCCTCCGCAGCCGCCAGGGCCTGCTCCTGAGCAGCCTTGAGGGCCTGCTCCTCCTCCACCGTGGGATCACTAATCTCCATGATCTCCGGGCCGCTGGGGTACTCTTGCTGAATGGGGGCCGGCAGGGCCGGGTTGAAGTTCTCGGGACTGTACTTGTGGCCCCAGCCAATGTAGATGTTCTCAAACTTCCTGGAGGGACAGACCGGAAAATCATCCCTCGAAGGCCCCAGGGCGGACTTTCATTAAGGGTGGGCCCAGCATAGACATAGCAGGGTGAAGTATACCCACTGAGTTTCTCTTCATTTGGTCCTTTTAGTGTTTACTGAGCATCTACTAAGGGCCAGGCTGCGTCTAGAGCTGCACTGTCCAACAACATGAATAGCTACCAAGCACCTGAAACATGGCTAGTGTACCCCAAACACTGAATTTCTATATTATTTACTTTTCTAGTTTCACCTGTGATTTCGTCTTCAACCTATTGGTTATTCAGGAGTGTGTTGTTTAATTTCTACGTATCTGTGAATTTCCTTGTTATTATTTCTAATCTTATTCCAGTGTGGTTAGAAAAGTTATTTTGTCTGATTAATCCTTTTAAATTAATGGAGACTTGTTTTATGGCCTAGGATATGGCCTATCTTGGAGAATGTTCCATGTGCACTTGAGAGGAATGTGGATTCTGCTGTTGTGGGTGGAGCGGATTTTATTTAATTTTAATTCATTTATATTTAAGCAATAAAACGGATACTCAATTTAGTATTGGAAAATGTCTGAGTATGTCTGAGACGGGCATGAGTCTATTTTTGCCATTGTAAATGTTGCAAAATCTAAAGACAAGTCAAGTATTTCTGATGAAAATTTAGTGCCCAGATTGACATGTGCTGTAAATGTAAATTTCACCTCAGATTCCAAAGACTTAAGATGAAAAAAAAAATGTAAAATGGTTCATTAATCATTTTTACATTATTGATTTTGTGTTTCGGTGAAAATATTTTGGATATTTGGGGTTAAGTAAAATATACTATTTAAATGAATTTTGCCTGTTTATTTCTACTTCTTGAACATGGCTACTAGAACATTTTAAATGAAATATGTAGCTTGTATTTTATTTATGTTGGATGGCGCTGGTCTAGATGTGGGGACCTAGCCGTGAACAGATTAGACCGGAATCCTTGCCGTGGTGCCTATGCTCCAGAGGCAGGGGGCTGATAATAAAGACAGAAGTGATCAGGCCCGACTGATTTATCTCCCCCCGGAATTTTAACTAAGAAAGAAAGAGGAGTAAATGGGAGAACAGGCAGGGGACTGAGAGACGGGGAGAGAGGCAGACAGAAGCAGAGGGAGAAATTGAGAGAGCAGGAGAGGTGGGGGGTGGAGAGTCTGCTCTGGGAACAGTTTGGCTTTGACCTTGCTGTTCCCGAGAAAATTGTTTTTCTCCGGGTCTTCCTCGGAGCCTTCAAACACACTGCTTCCTCGGAAGCCCCCAGCCCCTGCCTGCCCTGGTCCTGTGGTCCAGCACCCAGCTACATCCTCGGGGGGTTGAACTTGCCAGGAAGGGCTCCGCTCCAGCCGGACCCGTGCGACTAGACCCTGCCCAGATCGCGGGGTGAGTCCGAGCACTCGCAGGTGGAGAAGCTCTGGTCGAGAATATCCTTCCGCCTGTTTCCACCCCCCGCCTCCCCCCACCCCCCACGCACACTTACTTCTTTCTTTCCCCAAAGATTTCAAATCAAGGCTGCTTTTCCCAGAAATCCTTCCTTAATCCCCTCAAGACATGACAGCTATGACTGTCATTTGTCCCTCCACTCTCCCTCTCCCTCCTGGTACTTATCTTAGTTTGTAAGAGGATATTGAGGACGGGGGAAAGAGGGCGAGGGGCAGGGGGAGGAGGCGGAGGGGAGTTATACAATTAACGCCCTAGCTTCCTTTTCCTGCTCCCAGGGCAGGATCCACATCTGCCTTTTCAACAAAGGGCCAGGGCCCAGCATACAGCTGGTAAACAGTGACAATCATGTCTTCTATGGGAAAAAAAAAAAAGTGGATAGACGAATGGATGAATGGAGGGATGGATGGACGAATGACTGGATAGTGGATGAGAGGGTGGGGGGTGGGGGTGGGTGCAGGAGTGAAGGATGTATGGGTGGAGCTCCCAATTTAGATCTTTTGCTTTCGGAGGGATGTTGGCAAATTAGGATGTGGCCAGAAGAAGGTCATTGGCAAAAGTAAGCATGCCTCTTCCCTATTTCTGAAGGAAATGAAAAATAATTTCCAAGTATGTGGTTAAAGTATCAAGATGACATGAAATCCCACCTCGTCTGTTAATCATGGTAGCGAATACAGAGCAGGTTCATCATTGAGATGGAAAAGGAAAATCTATGAAAAATCGTCATGCCATCTGGTGGACAGAGCTGGTAAGTGCGCCCGCCCCGTGGCCGCAGACGGCGTCCTCTAGTGGCGGAGCAGAAAGGCTGAGATACCCACGGTGAGAGAGGCGGGGAGGGTAAGCAGCGCATAGCTGCCTGCCAACCGGAAGA